TATATATATATATATATATATATATATATATATATATATATTAGTTTTTTACTTACGTGTATGTTTGTATAACACATGTGTGCTTGGTGCCCTTGGAAGTCAGAAGAGGTCAGCAAATCCCCTGAGAGTAGAATTATAGACAGTTGTGTTTTGCCATGTGGATACTGGAATTGAACCCAGGTCCTCTAAAAGGGCAGCAAGCACTCCCAACTGCTGAGCTGTCTCTATCCCCTGATTTTTCATCCTGAGACAGAGTTTCACTAAGTTACCCAAGCTACAAAGCAAGAGATGGCTCAATCAATAAAGTGCTTGCCTCACAAGCTTGAAAGCATGAGGAATTCAGGCAGTAGAACCCACTTTAAAAAAAAAAGCTGGGTATGGTACACCTGTAACCTCAGTATTGAAGGCTGAAGCAGGAGGATTACAAGTTCAAGACCAGACTTGTTCACATAGTAAGCTTCAGGCCAGCCATCATACTAGATAGCAAGACAACACGGAATAAAGGGAGGGAGGGAGGGAGCAACGGAGGGAGGGAGGGAGGAAGGAAGGAAGGAAGGAAGGAAGGAGGGAAGGAGGGAGGGAGGGAGAGAAGGAGGGAGGGAAGGAAGGAAGGAGGGAGGGAGGGAGGGAGGGAGGGAAGGAAGGAAGGAAGGAAGGAGGGAGGGAGGGAGAGAAGGAAAAGCATCTTTATAGGGCTTTCGGAGAGCCCACAGACAGACAGATACCCTCAAGTTTAGCTTGTGTTGATTCCTTCAGAGTGCTGGTGGTAGCCAGGCTTTGGGACACATGCTGAGAATCCCAGCTCTTGAAAGGCTGAAGCAGTAGGATCAGGAGTTTAAGGCTAGCCTAGACTATATGAGAGAGACCCTGCCCCCCACCAAAAAAGAAAAAAGTATCATGCACAGCTGGTATGATGGTGCTTGTTATGTTTTTGAAGAAAAAGAGGAAAAGACATATTAAGCAGTTTATTATTGGGACGGCAGAGTAAAGAGAGAAGAGAAACAGAGTTAATAGCTGACCGCCATGGCTGGTCACCATAGAGAGGCAGAGAGAGCGTGTAGGTGGGAGAAGAGAGAGCAGAAGCAGAGAGAGAGCGCGCGCATCAGGAAGTTGGACCTTATGAAGGGAAGACTGCACATGCACTGAGGTTCCACGCATGTCCAGAATCCTCAAGCGTGGCAGGTGACCTGGTGAAGACGCAGCACATTTTCCTGTGCGTGCCCTGACTGTTGTCAGGGGGCAGGGTCTGTCTCTTAAAGAGGTAGAGCCAAAGAGCATTAAAGCCTGAACCTTTCATTCCCTCCTCTACTTATTATTTAAAAAGGTGGGGTGTTAGACATGGCAGGGTAAGGAATAAGGGCATCGGATTCTCAAGACTGCTTCCTGCTGACGTAGGGGGTGTTGACCATCTTTGGGGGACCTGAGAAGGTTGGGGTGCTGCTAGTCCTGGGGTGGCTGGTTGTTTTCAGTCCAGGCTATACAGAACTCCCTGACTCCTCTTAGACCTGGCAAGATGTTGGCAGAGCAGAGGACAAGATTAAGTTTAGAAAAAAATTTTTTTCTTAGGTCCTGTCACTTGAGGGGATGATTATAAGATGAGGGAGTTGTTCCCCAAGGAGTCCCAACATGAGGGAAGGGAGTCCTGGGACCAGGGAAAGATTGAATAACTGGAGTGAATCTGACCTGTTTATTTGGATCCAATTCAGCTCCCTGGAACTTACAAGAATCCTTAGAGTTTGTGGAAACATAAGTATTAGACACATTAGCAGCATATTCTTGTTAGAAGCAACTTGGCTCAAAGCATTACCATTTTAAAATTGACAGATTTTTTTTAGAACAATGAAAAGCATCTTAATCTTGACCTTGTAGTTATGATCCTATAGTGGTATTGTAGAACTTTACTATGAACAGTAGCATGAGAAATAGAGAAATCAGGAACATATTTCATTCTTTTTAATGTCTCAACTCACTTTATCATCACTTAAGCATTTTT